GAAGTTATATAATCAACGTCAGCAGGAAAACTTTATAGCAGCATATAAGGTAATAGCATCACACTATAACAGGCTTGTCTGACACACACATTCCCCATATAATCTACAAGACAGGTTTCACTCGAATCGGCACTTGCCAGCGAGTTCGTGATATTGGTCCAGACAATCGGAATACCCCATCTCAAGAGAGAAACTGTCACCATAGTAGCACTTAACCCATTCCCAGTTATGAACAACATACAGGGAACCATGGATATCATAGAGGAAATCGAACTGCTCTTGTGTGAGAATACCATCAGAAACTGTACGGGCCTTCAACTCGTTGAGCAACTCCCATGCATATTCAATACCACCAGTGGAGTTGGGATAAGCTGCGGCATCGTAAGCACACATAGAAAGCTTGTGGCAGTATTTACCAACAGTGCAAGAACCTTCCAACATGATGGTGATCTTGGCCTTCAAGTTCTCCCATCCTGGTTGAGTACACACAGCACACTGTTCTGTCATCATATAGTTCATACGATAAACGAGATCATCTGCATAGTCACCGTCAATAGCGTTACGATAGAGCATCATCGTAGCATGGTCGGCATACTGCATGATGTACTGAGTACCCAGAGTATTTTTCTGACCCTCGATGGCAAAATCGATGAACAAAGAACCAGAGGCATATCCCATCCTCTTGCTAACATCCTTCTTCATCTGCTGAGCCTTCAGCAAAGTCGTCTTAATATCCTCCGGCTGCATGTGCTCAACGTCATAGCTCAAACCGATGGGAGCAATTTCCCGCATGTCTTCTGCCGAAATATAATTTTCCAAGTACTCTTCGAAGGTATCAACGAAGTCTGCCATCCTTTTCCCATTGGACTTCTCTGTGTCACCGTAAGTCAACCAAATCCTCTCAGTATTGCCAGTTTGCTTCCTCCATCCCTTCATCCACGGAAGGAGCCTCTCCGGGTTATGAATACGGTCATAGTTGGTATAATCAGCGATATTCACATACACATCGCCAGTGTTCCACAACTTGCCCATATCAGAAGCACCAAAGTCAGTAAGACTGGGGTCACCTGACCTCCAGTAATCCTGGGACCATGAATAGGTACCGAACCGGACAGAACCATCATCATGATTGCTCGTGGTTGGAGCTGCACTTGTTGTTGCCAAAATCTCCGTGGTCGTCGACAGGTCCTCCGTCGTGTTCATTGTTGATGTAGCCGTTGTCGTCACCATGGACGACGTCGGTGCCGTCGGCTGAGTAGTCGTCCTCGGACTGGTTGTAGTCGGGGCTACGAACTCAGTAGTGGTTGTAGCTGCTGTTTTGCCACCACTGCAAGAGCACGGGACTCCCGAACCTTGGCAGACACTAGGTGTCTCATAGTATTTGCAATAGGAACCAGAAGAAAGACTTGCACAATACTTGTCACCATCACTGCAATCAGTGCCAGTGGAAACGCTCACCGTCGACGTAGTTGATCGTGCCTCCTTCGTCGTTGTTGACGGTTCCGTTGCTATCGTCGTTGACACAGTAATCGGAGTTGTCGTTGTAGGTTGTGTAGTTGCTTTCGAACTAGTTGTGGTCGGAGGTAAGAACTTAGTTCTAGCAGCAACTGTAGTGCTACCACTACAAGAGCACTGAGTATTCGAGCCTTGACAGACACTAGGTGTTTCATAGTATTTGCAATACGAACCAGGAATAAGACTTGCACAGTACTCGTCGCCCTCACTGCAGTCAGTGGCAGCAGAGACGCCCAAAGCAATGCAGGATAGCGTGATGGCGTGAGCCAAGCGATGCAGCATTGAGAGATCTAGTAACAATAGATACTGCATAGAAATTGGTTATAAGGGAACCGAATGATGCACATAAGCATGTGGATTAACTCACTAATTGATTCGCTAACTTCGTTCGAATTTATCGACTATGTTTAGCTTTTTCCTGCGATTGGCTGAGTGGAGTTGTGCAATGTAGACAGCCGTAGGAGACAAAAGCTCTCTGCACAAAGGTTGTGATAGGGACGCGATTTCCAGATGGACTCTATTTACTTCGACCCTCGATCGTCAGCTCGGGCGTGATGACAAGCTACGATCAAGTCCCTTAATGTCGATTTAGCAGGACAAGTTATAGCCAATTGCTCCAAAGAACGCGGCTACAACCATTCCGATAACCATGCGAGTTATAGCATTGCATTGTGCTCATCTGCTTCTGAGCATTCAGTCTGGGCCGCAGGATCGCTACTGACGCACGTCTGCACAAATGCGCACAATGGACTAGGGCAGTAATAACCCTATAGGTTATTCAGCAGACTGATAGCAGGGTTTCAGTTGACCCATTTCGAAATCATGTCAATACCCCTTAGGATGATCGAGTTATACAATCACGAACTCCAATGTGCAGAGGTTCTCTAGCGTAAAACCGTACCTTCTTTTGTCCACCGTTCAATGGACAACGGTTTGCCTGTGATGATCAACTTGGGTCTATTCGGCAAATTTTGATCGCGTCACTTTTCAGGGTAATCTGCTCTGAGTGAGAGCAACTCATTTGGGATGAGGCAGCTATGCCATCCCACGGTATGCCTGGAGGAGTTAACTCCTCCAAGATGGGGCAGCTATGCCATATCACGATATATCTGATGGGTAACGTTGCCCGGGATGGGGCAACTATGCCACCCCATAGTATGCCTAGTGGAGTAATAGATGAGGCAACTATGCCATTCCATAGTATGCCTAGTGGAGTAATAGATGGGGCAACTATGCCATCCCAGAAAATGCCTAGTAGAATAATAGATGGGGCAACTATGCCGTTTCATAATATGCCTGATGGAGTGATAGATGGGGAAACTATGCCATCCCACAGTATGCCTAGTGGAGTAATAGATGGGGCAACTATGCCACCCCATAGTGTGCCTAGTGGAGTAATGGATGGGGCAACTATGCCACCCCATAGTATGCCTAGTGGAGTAATAGATGGGGCAACTATGCCACCCCATAGTGTGCCTAGTGGAGTAATGGATGGGGCAACTATGCCACCCCATAGTATGCCTAGTGGAGTAATGGATGGGGCAACTATGCCATCCCATAGTGTATCTGACGGCATAAAGTTCTCCAAGATGAGGCAACATGGTCTCAAAAGGCGCTTGATGATTTTCTCCGAAAACCTCCCATTCCTCTGGTGTATATCTTCTGGATCATACCCCGATAAAAACAACTCAAGTTAACAGAACTGAGGGGAACAAAATCTCCGAAACTCCTTGATACACCTGAGAATAGAACCAGATACACATCAGTAAAGTACAATCGAAACTGTATGAAGAACGTTGACAAGCAACCATAATATCAACATACAAGTCATGTACAGAGTCACGCAAAAATGCTCGGGAAGCAATCATTTCCATACAAGTCAGGTATACAAGATTCACTCTGCTCGGCACTTGCTACTGAGTTCGTGATATTGATCTAAACAATCGGAATACCCCATCTCGAGAGAAAAACTGTCACCATAGTAACATCTAACCCATTCCCAGTTATGAACAACATACAGGGAACCATGGATATCATAGAGGAAATCGAACTGCTCCTGCGTGAGAATACCATCAGAAACCGTACGGGCCTTCAACTCGTTGAGCAACTCCCATGCATATTCAATACCACCAGTGGAATCGGGATAAGCTGAGGCATCGTAAGCACACATAGAAAGCTTGTGACAGTATTTACCAACAGTGCAAGAACCCTCCAACATGATGGTGATCTTGGCCTTCAAGTTCTCCCATCCTGGTTGAGTACACACAGCACATTGTTCTGTCATCATATAATTCATACGATAAACGAGATCATCTGCATAATCACCGTCATAGCGTTACGATAGAGCATCATCGTAGCATGGTCGGCATACTGCATGATGTACTGAGTACCCAGAGTATTTTTCTGACCCTCGATGGC